AAATTTGACACTTGCTACATTCCTGGACGCTATTGCCATACTAAGCAGTAATCACAGTGCTGATCAAGCTTCCCGACAAACGCAAGAACATATCAATAAACTACAAATGGGGCTTGCCAAATGGAATATTTGCATAAATGAAACCAAATCAGCTCATATCACATTTACCCTGAGAGAGGGTGCTTGTCTTCCAATTTAAGTCCAGATTCCGAAACAGAACATAGTGAAATATCTTGGTCTCCATTTAGACAGCAGACTTACTTGGAAAAGCCACATAAAAACAAAAAAAAACAGCAAATAATGATCAAAATTAAAGAATTTGATTGGCTACTGCGTAAAAAGTCTAAGCTCTCTGTTGAAAATAAGTTGCTGCTATATAAATCAATCATTAAACCAATCTGGACCTACGGAATTGAGCTCTGGGGATGTGCTTACAAATCAAATATAATGCAGAGAACTCAGTCAGAAATTTTACGTACAATTCTTAATTCTCCGTCGTACGTAACAAATGAAACCATTCACAGCGACCTCAACATGAAAACGGTGCATTTAACGTTCAAAGAATTCACTGGACTCACATTCGAACCCATTTATAGTTGACATTACTAAACCTTATGGCAGAAGGAGATTGAAACGATATGGCCTTTAGACTTAGTCTTAGATTAGGTCTAATATAATATTATCATAGTCACTGTTAAACTGAGAAGATCTCATTGGAGCTTTTCTTAGGCATCGCTCTTAATATTGTCATTTAGCTCATTAATCTTTATGTATTTCTTATGCTCATACGAGTTAATTAAAAAAATATTGACATTTAGTTTAACCTATTTCATATTCAAGAAAGCGGTTTCGCCCAACTTCAATGTCAAATATGAGTAATGAATTAATCATTTTGGCCAAGCTGATTCAAAGGCCGAAAGCGCCGAAAGGCGGCCGAAATGAGAACCAGCCTTTTTCACCCGGCAATTGAAATTATAGGAAAATTCGATAATATAATGGCAGACCACATAAAAGAATTATTACAAAACCACATTACAAAGATCAATTGCTTTAGAAACTACGTGTCACGTTAACTGGAAAATCGGTTTTAAAATGAATTAATCACTATCCTTGCAACCCAAATATATATTAATCTTGTAAGTGGAATTCTGCCCTGTGGCAAGTTGCATAAAGTTCCCGAAAAGTAATCAATAATATTTTTTATAGAATTTACCTGTCTTTCTATGTTTCTGTCTACCTGTCTCTATGTCAACATGTCCTCCTATATATATTCAATGCCGTCAACCAGTTTACCTGCCTGCCTGTTTACCTGCCTACTCGTTCAAATCTACAACCGTATGCCTGTTTACTATAGTCTTCTTGTTCATCGGTACATGTGTAAACTTGTTCGTCCGATTGCCCCTCTACTTGTCTATCTATATACCTATCTACCTGTTTACCTGCCTACCTATCTGATTGTTACTAGCCAACTTGTCTATCTGTCTACCTGTCTATCATTTTTCAGTTTATCTTTGTCTACCTGTCTATGACTCTACCTGTTTACCTGCCTAACTATTTACCTATTTGCCAATAATTTAATTTGAATATGGATCAACTACTTGAATTTGTAAGAATCACATTTGACCTATACATTTTATCTTGCTTGCTTTTGCAAAAATGTGCTCAATTCTTTCTTTTCATCATTTTTTGCACTTTTTGCTCTCCGAAACGGCCTGAAATCTGTCAATGCCTAGAACTAATCAGCACATCTCGCCGTCAATTAAAATTGATTATCTTTTGGATCAATCTAATCAATTGAAATCAACAAAAGGGCAAAAGATTTGAAAATTACAATAATTTACATATTGAAAATGATAAATTTAAAGTACGAGAAAATTTAGTTGGTTGCCATAAAGGTGAAAAAGCATGTAAGATTTTTTGTGTATAACTTCCTAATTCAAAAGTTAAACTATACTGGATTCAGCTTTTATTATATGAGGGGATAATTAATTAAACTATGATCTTTGTATATCTCATTAAAGCCACTATATACAATTTCTTTAGCGGTTTACCATTTATGAGACAAATTTTAAAAAATAAATAAAATACTGACAAGGTAACCATCAGGTTTACTCTTCGAAGCCGCTGGACCTGTCTTTGCCATTGACATTGTATTTTGAATTTTTCAAATCGGTTCATCCATACTCTCGAAATCGTCGACAAAAAATTGTCTCCGCACATACACACACATCCATTTTTTCTTAGGTATGCCAAAATTTCCAGAAACCTCTGAAACGTGAAGATATGCAAAAATGTTCATTTTCGATTTTTGGCTCATTACTATAACTTACCCTACGCAAAGTTAATAATCAAAAAATTGCTTCAGATCTTCAATTATTGAAGAACGTTTAAGGTATTTGTTAACTATTGTGATAGAAAGAAAAATTACCAATTGATCATTTGAGAATTTAGGAAATAGTTGAAGACTTTCATTAAAAAAATCGCATAGAGTTAATTTTGCTCGCACAAATTGAATTATTTACAGTCAACCGAGACCTCTTAAATGTGAAGTTTGATGATGAAAGTCTCTTACTGTCTTAAATGTTATAAAATATAAAAAATTAATATTATACTCTGTGTTGATTATTTAAGTTGGAAAAACATTTTTTCATACCGTGTGACCCATGCTTAAGTGTCATGACAAATCATCCCCTAAAGATAAGGAGGTGGTAAATACAATTGTATAAAACGCCGAGACATTGAGAAAAACAATCAACAGTTCGTTTCTTTTGTTCCCTTAGAAAAGTGAAACGCACATACAAGTTCAACACTTCCAAAAAAAGTTATTCTGAAGTGATCATTTGTACAATAAGGAGTGCTTCAGATAAATAAAAGTGAAAAGTTATTTGAATAGTGTGAGAAGTTTCTTACTAGGTAATTCATTTCTTAGTTATTTGATTAAAATAGGTGACAAAAAATTATAATAAGTAATGCGAATTTTAAAAGATAGGTATACATAATCAACTTAGCCATTAAATATTCAACGGTTTAGTTTGAAAAAATATTTTCACTTTTGCGAAGACGATTGCCAACTCATGCCTTTCCAACATACTTATAATATCTGTAATTGAATAATTAAATCAATTTGTTTAACGCATTTTATTTTATCCTTTGTGTTCTGGAAATGTATTTTATTTGAATGTAATTTGTAGATTCTGATTAGAATCGTTTGAGTGCGCGACGAAATTCTAAACTTTGAAGAATTTTTATAATTCAGCCGCTTTTCGTAGGTCTATAATATTTTAGTTAGTCGTTTCGGACTATGACATATATCATTGTAAAAAGTTCCATCAAATCGCCAAAAAAATATCAACATTTAATTACAAAAAAACGATCTTTACCAATCAACACGATTCCCAACCAAAATCTTTCAAACAATTTTTGAATTTTTGAAATAAATTCAACATTGTGAACCGAAACGTGGGCAAGAACTTTTACACTTTTTTGCTAATTGCAAAAAAATGGCTGAGCCGATCGTCGCGCAAAACTAATCAATGATAGTTCTTGACTAATGACTTTTGAAATTTTAAAATCAGTGCAGCAGTTTTTTAGATGACGTCGACAAAAGGTCAAAAATCGGCTCACATACACACATATATACACGCATACACACACTAACACGCGCCAGCATACTTTTCTAAATTCGGCCTCATTCGATTCAGAATGACTTCAAACGTCGAAAAGATAAAATTAGCAAATCGTATTTTTCTGATGGAAAAAAACTTTTTTTGGGAAGTTCTTGCAAATTAGTTTTTGGTAATTTTGGTATAGTATAACATGCTACGATAGGCGATTTTGGAATGATGGGCTATGTCAAAAATTCAAAATTCTATCGCGACAAGTTCATAAATAAATTTTTTAAATATGTTTAAATTTTGGAATACATGCACACACATGCTTTTTCCAATTTTGGTGTTAAATTTGTCTTTCCTGACGCAGACATAGGACAAGAAAAAATGAGACAAGAATAGAATTTAAAAAAATAAACCTGCTTAATTTTATAATAAATATAATTAATGCTGAAAAGTTGTTTTCCATAAAAGACTCAACCATTAACACTATATTATCAGAATAAAAAAAGGAAAAGTAGCGTATACGCGTGCATGGTGCAAAATAATATATTAGATTGAAATTATAATTTTTATTGAGTTAAAACTTGTAATTAAATTTAATCGAATACTTATATCTATAAATAAAATATTCATTTCTGAGAACTGTTCAATTAGTTAAAAGTTTAGTTGCTAATATTGTAATAATGAATACAATTTGGGTAGTACTGCCCAACTCGATTCCGGAAATAATAGCATGAAGAATATCCCATAGCCATTTCTCATCGCAGTGCCCGAAATAGGCTATTTGAATAGGAAAAATTTTTTTTTCAAAAAAAGGTAATTTTTTGTCAAATTATAGTTTCTCAAAAATCTAATTTTTTCGAAGTAATTTTTTTTCAAAAATGTTAATCGTTTTAAAAAAAATGATAATTCTTGGTACGGGAAGTTCCGGCAATTTGCCTTAAGGCACGATGCCATACGCCCCACTAGTTAATCTATATTTTTAAGTAAAAAAATTAACATCGATGCTGCACGACGTCAGGTTGTCCAGAGCGGACTTCGAACTTACGACCCCGTACATACGAGTCCGTGCGTTTGATCGTAACGCCTTGAAATACCCCAATAATAAGTTAAACTACAGCTCAATATATTGTCCCCACAATTATTTTTATAGTTCACACTTCTTTGGAATTCCTAAACCCAAACTTTTTTTGCTCAAACCTGATGCTTTAAAAATGTTTTTTTCAAATTGCCGTACTTTATTATAATTTTTTTGCCATAGAATGCCACAATTTTTAAATAAATAAGCCATCCATATAAGAAGTTAAGTAGGTCTTGAAAAATCTAGAAAAACAGTCAATAAATTACTATTTGACCATGTTTAAGTTCATATCACGACAAATTTGTTAAATGTAACTTGGATTGTGATAGTTGTCTTTTTCTGTTGTAGCATACACGTCATTCTGCATCACAATGACGTCCGCGAACGTGTTAAGATAATTAAATCAAGATCTAAGACGTAACGATAAATTTCCGATTTTACTTTTTATCTAAATTTCAACGTAATTTTCTTTTTTTTCAGGTTTCAATAAAAATCACAATGTCGTTCAAATGGTTATCGGTAATAGCGATATTCGCCCTCTGTTTATTGGGATACAGTTTTGCCCAACTGACATTCACACCAGTTTGGGGGAAAAGAGCCCCAAATCCACTTGGGAATATGCAGGGTACTCAAGACTGCAGAATTTCAGCCGAAGGCATGATGCTCATGTATAGGCTAATACAGGTACTGATTTGCATTAACTTTAAAAAATAAAAAGTATTCTTGTGTGTCTCAGAACTTAACGTCTTTAGGTTTTTATTTTTTTATTCGAATTATTTTACTATAAAACTGCAGAAATGTTTTGCCAATTCTGCCAATTACAAAGAAACGTGCAAAACTGTCCAACGATAGTTCTTATGATCTTTATCATAGAATGGCTTCTAAAGATTCAGATACATCAAATGGCTTTTAAAATTTTGAAATCGTCTTAGCCTTTATAAACGTCGACGGAAAGTTGAAAATCAATTCACATACACACACATAATTTTTCTAAATTTGGTCTCATTCGATTTAAAATCACTTTAAACGTCGAGAAAACATAAAATTAGACAATCGGATTTTTTCGCGAAAACGAACTTCTTCTTCGGGAAGTTCAAATCGTATTTTATGTCATATTTAGTGACTACTATCTGTATTAGCTAGGTAAAAATAAAATTTTAGAAGAAAAACTTCAACTTTGTATCTCACCTTATGGCCAAAATATTATTGAAAATATGACATTTTCCTTTTCAAACTCAATTTTTGGCGTAACCATAAAAGATATCGAAAAAGAAATTACATGATTCTGCTCACATTGGCTTAGAACACATAATGTAGATTAATTGATGCTAAATATTTATTTATTACTAGCTGACCCGGCAAACGTTGTTTTGCTAAGTAAGGTATATTCTAAACAATTTTTAGAGAATCAAAAATATTAATACTTTAAGTGTTTTATAAGGATGTGTTGTTTGAATGTTATATACAATAAAGTATTATAAAAACATTAAACCCCATTAGTTTGTCTGTATTTTGTCAATACAATCAAACTGGAAGATTTATACACTTTCTATAGAAAACATGGTATAATCCAATCCAAGTCTTTTTTGGTCTTTCGACTTACTGATTACGTTTCAAGTTTTCCAGATTCTTTTTGGATTCTGTATTTTGTATATAATTGTAAATAATACTACTGAGCTATTAAAAAAAATTCAAATTTCTGCGAGAAGAGATAGAAAATAAATTAAGTATTTCATTTTTGACCTGCTTTTTGAAGAGTTTCAAGTAACATTCGATGAATTAAAGTAAATTTAATAAAAAGTATATATTTAAAACAGGGCCAGGCACAAAGGTCCAATTTGACTTTGAGCAAATATAAAGTATATTGTGAAAACCATAACACAACAAATAACACATTTCAAACGAAAATTGTCTGACTACGTTCAGTAAACTGCCTTCAAAATGTCTTTCAAAAATTTGTTATCTAGACCTTTTTACCCTATAGGCGGGGTATTGTGCTGAAAAACTACCAACGGAAGAAAATACTTTTATTATGGATTTTCAAAGATTGCCGTTTATCTCCCGATAGCAAAGTTTTCAAATCAAGGTTATAGCTGGTTATATATCTTTTGACCTCTACTTTCAAATATTGTTGTTAAACAATGCTTAACTTTACCAGTTTTTGAGACATTTATCTCCCGATAGCAAAGTTTTCAAATCAAGGTTATAGCTGGTTATATATCTTTTGACCTCTACTTTCAAATATTGTTGTTAAACAATGCTTAACTTTACCGGTTTTTGAGACATTGGTGGTGGACCTTTTAAACCTCGGTCCTTCGTATATTACTATCTATTCTTCGATAAATTCTGGGAAATTATAACTGGAAAAATGTTATTCGACAAAATGTCCATTTGATCGATACCAAATTTAGGTTCTGAATTTAAATAAGATAAATAAAAAATAATATAACCTAGAAAATGTTTTATAAATACCAATGAGTATATAATTATACAAATGAGATCTTTCAGAGCACCGTGTTTGAGAAAAATATGCCAAAAAGTGCATTTTCATATTAACATATCAAAAAAGTTTATATTTTGAGTCTCTAGTAACACTTGCGGCCCGTTTACTAACGTTTTTGTATATAATTAAAACTACAAACAAAACTACTCACTACAAATTTATCATAAATAAATATTATTCGCGTAAAACATCCTATTAAACGTAATTGAACATCATCTGTCAAAAGCGTTTGACATTTCACGAAATTGCCACCGTCCATTGTTTTATTTAAATTACGCTTCTACAAAAATTTTCAAATTAAAAATGTAAAGTTTCTACGCGGATTTAAAATAATTTCTCAGCTTTTGGACTTTCTCTGGATTGGCACGAATTTTTCAAGACTAAGACTGGCCAAATCGATTCAGCCGTTTTCGAGTTTTATTCGGACATTTGAAAGAGAGCTCCATTTTTATATATAAGATTAGCTAAAAAGGATAAAATATTTTTTCAATTAAAGTTTTCGGAAAGTGCGTTTTGTTTAATTACATTATTATTAGCGTTGTTCGAAATCCTATTGACTTTTCTTTTAGTTTAGACTGCCAAAATGGTATTTTCTTAAAGGACCGATAATAAAGTATCATTAAAAAAAATCTCTCTTTGTGAAAACAGGTTAGTCAAATAGTTCACTGGCTCCCCTACTACTTTGAGATAAAAGCGCATTACGCACAACGCTCTTTCTATAAATAGCAAGAGTTGAAACTGAAACGGTAGATGTCACTGCTTCGTATAGCGGCGTCACGTTAACTTGTGATCGCCGCACAAACCTGAAAGGATTTTGCTTGTCTCGGTTGAAACGTCGTTTCGGCAAGATCATACTTCACAGGATCATTTCTGTAGTATGTCTTCACAATCTCTTCACTCAAACGTGGAGTTGATGCGACCTCGACGATGAGTCGTAGCATCGCACCCTGAGCGTGAGAAAGGTGATCGAACTTCATTTGGAGTTTGATCATCGTCGATGACCGTTCGCCAAAATCTCTCGTGGATTCTGGTCATGGGTGTGATGCTTTCTGAGAGGTCAATTTTAATCATTATTTATAATTGCATTTTAAACAGAATAGTATCTTGCATTTTAAACAGAATGCTCAACTTCTTTGCGTTTTTTGATTTGATCTTCTTTTAAAAAAAGATAAATAGGAAGTATATAGAGTACAAGCATGAAACAATAAAATTTCAGCAGATGAGCAGTCGTTTTATTTTTCAATAAGCTGGCTTTGATATCCAAAGTTTGATTGAATACCGTTATAATAATGAGGGTTGTCAGGTCGTTATATTTATTTTACACGATTGGTCGTGGGTCTGATGCTTTCTGAGAATGCTTTAAAACATTATATATTTTATAACTTACCGTAAGAGTAAGTTTTAAGTTCTGATATTTATAATAACATTATTTATAATAATAGCCTAAAATTACATTTTTTAAAAAGGCTTCAAAATTATTTAAAAGCTGAAAATTGAGATTTTTGAAATATTTAATATTCATCATTTTCCAGCTTTCAAATAATTTTGAAGCTTTTTTAAAAAATGTAATTTTATTGGCTTGAAATCGACTTTTTTTAAAAAATTAGATTATAAAACAATCAGTACGTCTCTTTGTCAATACGAATCGAATGTTTTTTTTTAATTATTCATATCGGCTGAATTGTCTGAAATCGTCGACGAAAATTTGTATCCGAACACACACACACACACACGTAAATATATCTTCTTTTTTTCTAATAATAAGGTATGCCCAAGAGCACAGAAATTTGACACGTAAAGACATACACAAATTTACATTTTTTATTTTCAATACTATAACTTACCCTAAGGGAAGGTAAAATAACTATTACTGCTGTATTTACATTCCAATATGAATAATAACTAAGTATATCATTATTTATTTTTTGCCTTATATGGTATTTTTATGGTCAAATGGCATTGAGACAATAATAAAGCTTTGTTATTCTACAAAAATGACGGTTGATGTACAAAACAACTCAAAATTCAAAAAAAAATAAAAACAAAAAGTTTGTGGCAACCACACTTTGAGTCTAGCCGAATCATGTTAAATAAACAAAATACAAAATAGAAATAAAAGTTATTTGAAAATATCTAAATTTAGAGCGTGATCAATAATGTTTGTTTTAAAAAATAACATTAAACAAGTAAATGCATTCATAAAATTAAAAAAATTATTTTCGAGATGAAATATCGATTGCTATATTTTTTGTTTTTTGCGAATTTTGAAAGCAATTAATCTAAAAACTAGTTGTAACTGGCAAATCAAAAACTTTGAAACATTCGAAGCGCAATATGCAAAAATTACCATTTTCAACTTTTGGACAATTATTTTAACTTATGGCCCTGGCAGTATTAGCAGATAACAAATCTATATAATTTGATATCTGTCCAAAAGATTGAGTTTTTAAAATTGGTTTAGAATTTTTGGCGAAAACATTAACTATGCACTTATCGATTACAAAGAAACCACTATGTCTATCATCGTGCTAAATTAACAATGCAAGTCCTTGTTGAGTTTTATCAATCGATAAATTATTGAAATGTTGCATCCGTTTTTGAAAAGTCGACATGCTTTTTCCATTTTGGTGCCAAACGATCTAAAATTACTCGGAACATCGAGAACATAAATTTAGGAGATCGCATTTCGACCAAAAAAGTAAAATTTCCCTGCGGAAAATAAATAAATTCCTTAAAATCCTTGCATCATAAAACATAATTTATGAATAGGTCATATATTTTACAAAATTATATTTTCATTTATATAAATCCAAAACATAAGAATAATCTCTAAACTCTAAAAGAATGTAATTTTATGAACGAAAGTAAAGCATATATAATCAGCATATTACGCCTGAAACTACAGTATAATATAATTCAAACTGCGCGCTTACATTTTATCGTTCATGGAGCAGGCGAATTTTATTTAAATATTGATAATACTTTAATAAAAAAAACAAATTTATTTATCTGAGTGACAATGACAAATTCTAAAATAAAAAAATAGAAGTAAATCGTAATAGTTGCATCTAAAACTTTTTTCAAATGTCATAATTTTAAATTTGTTGTTCGCAAATAACAGTTATTAAAAGAAATCAATCAAAATTACTTTTGGTTCTTTAAAAGCAATGCGGTCTAAAGA